GGGAAAAAAAAACAGTTAAGCCGCATATCACTTCCCACTGTCTGAGTTTGCCCCATAAGCGGAATTAACTGCGCACCTGCCAGCGCCATGGTTGCGCCAGCTGTTCCTGAGTATGTTGCTTCCCCCTCAATTTACGTGTTCCTGCGGAGAGGCTTGCTCTCTACGCCATTGTCTTCGGTCAGCGCCATTGCTTTGCGATTGACCCCCTAACGTGCTTCTAGGATATACGAAGAGGATGAGATCTTTGCTGCTGTCGATGCGCGGACGGAGTCGCTCCAGAGTCTACGAGAATTAGGTCCCCCAGATTTGGTATACTTGGTCAAGCAGCCGAAGAGCAACGCAAACCGGCAGGTACGTTTGGTCGCAGCAACCTTCTTCTAATATGGCGACGACTTAATGGACAGTCTGTCTTCATTTGCAGTGGGCTAACTAGACTATAATGCTCATAGACCGGAGTTTACCATCATGTCACCGGCATCGATGCTTCGTCCTCCGCCAGCCTGGCCGCCTACGTAAACACGCTTACCTTTTCTCCTCTGGATAAGACACACAAGGTGGTTTCTGGAATCTACTGGTCAGGAACTCGATTGAACGGACGCAATGGTTCTGTTATGGTTAACGTTTGCGCAGCTGTTACAATGCATTCTCGCATCTCGATATGCGTGTCGAAGTGAAGATACCAGGGAGTCTGGAGAGCTATTGCATCGATGAGCGAGGCGATAAGCGTGTTGCTACGGAGGCCCTGTGGCTTGAGACCTTCCTCTGCGGTGTACTGAGAGCATATTCTTACGCGGACGACGGTAGTGGTGATGCCATCAGAAAAATCGTTGGTGTCCGACGATTCAACCCGGTAACCAACACGGAGATGGAACATAAGTTCCTGGATGCTGCGGAGAGACTATTCTTCCTCGGTGCGCTGACTTGGCAACTTTGCAGACACGGACATAGGCTGACAAGCACTTATAGGGAGGCAGCTCAGCTCCGATCCAGAAACCCAAGTACCCAGTACCGTCAGCAACCATCTCACAGCAGGTCTCCTCAAGTACATCCAGACAACCGGCCGCTATGCCTCCGGAGTGAATCTGTTCGAGAAACTTCGCACACGAGATGTAGAGGTTTCGTCGCTTTTGGCAAGGGTTCTGTTAATGGCAGACGAAGAAGTACAGGCTGTACGGTTGATGTATGATGCTTTACAAGACGTGCCAATGGACTATGCACTACTTGATTGCCAAGCAGCGTTCTGCATGGGCAAGGGAGAAGGCGAATTGGCTCTGGAATGCGCAAAACGTGCTGTGACGGCCGCACCGAGCGAATTCAGCACATGGGCTCGGCTGGCCGAGGTATACGTATCACTCGAGCAATGGGACTTGGCGCTCCTTACCCTGAACTCGTGTCCCATGTTCACATATCAGGACAAGGACACGCCTCGAATGCCCCAGCCGTCACGCATTATGCTTCCTATTCTTGCAGAGAGCATATTGGATGAAATCGACGAGGGACAACCTAAACAAGGAGACCCTCACGACTATATCCATCCGTCGCTGAGAAAACTACACGCTGCATCATACCAAGGAACATTTTTGAAGGCCTACAACCTACTGACGAAGGTTGCCGCATCGATCGGCTGGGACCAGCTACTCAAGATTCGCAGCGAGGTCTTCGTCATGGAAGAGGAGTACCGAGTTGAACGCCAGCACTCCACATCGAAACCTGGCAAAACTGACTCTGTCGCTGAGACCCAGAGTGTTGAGACCAATGGTAACGGTGAGAATGGAGGTGGCTCTGGGGCCGAGGATGTGGATTTATCGGCCGAGACTGCAGCCAACGGCAATGGAGGGGTGAACGAAGAGCAAGTAGAAAGTTCTATTGAGAAACCAGAGCAATCGATGGCATCAGAGGTCGTCAAGTCGGGCAATGATGATGTAAGTTTATGTACTCTCTTTACTTCTTCTTGGGATGCTGATGTTGAATTTCTAGGCCGACCCGTCGCATTCTTCGTATACACAATTTAGGAACAAGCGTTTGTGTGAGCGCTGGCTAGATAACCTCTTCATGGTCTTATACGAAGATCTACGCATCTACACCATCTGGCGCACGGAGATGGCTCAATTCCGGCAGCAAGCGATCGAGTACAAGAAGTCGGCGACCGAATGGGAGATCCTGGGCGAACTTGCGGAGCGTCTGCATCACTTCGACGAAGCGATCGAAGCCTATCAACACTGCCTGTCTATTCGGTTCTCGCCCAAGGCCATGCGCGGCATCCTGAAGATGTATGAAAACCGGAACGACACGCGAGGCATGCTAGGCTCCCTGATTCGGCTTATCGCATGGCAATATCGCTGGTATTCCGAGGTATGTTTCTGCTTTGAAGTTTGCTAGCGCAGGCCCGACCGCACAATGACTAAACGTGTATGCAGTTTTCTCCCGAGTTGCTCTACCTCATCCGGAAACTCATTGAGGACGAAGGAGCCGTCAAGGTCCGCAGCATCGTGCAGGCGACGAATCTGCCACAGCCTGTCCTCGACCTCACACACCAATACTGCCAGCTTTGCGCGACCTTTCGCAGCAGCGGAAGCGATGCCTGAACCTAGAATTCTCGCTGCGGCGCGATAGTCCACTGATATACCTTGTCATCTTAGTCACAGTATACATATCCTCACGTATAGCGAATAAGCAGCTCCGCCTTCAGGGCGGCTATGTAATTCTCAGAAAGTGCACGGGTTGGGAGGGTCGAGGCAGTTTAAATAATATGATGATTTCATATAGTTACCTATTATTCATCGGGCGTCGTCCATAGACAGCAGTCCAGGTTGTGGATGCTTCTCTGCAGATGCAAAACATAGATAGGGTAGCAATCCTCCGTACATCCACTTGAGACCTTTTAGTACTAGTTTGACTCATTACATCGCACATCAAATAGTTGTTCAATTCCCAATTCAACTCGATATATGACTGATTTAGCTTATTAATCCAGATATATAGTTATCCTGAATCTGCCCTGAAGCCAGTATCCGTTCACCAGAAGCCTATCACGACAGTAGGAGAGCGAAACTACTCATCATCCTCCTCTCCAACGTCAACCTCGGCCTCCGCGGGAACAGTGCGCCCCTTAGCCTTGGCCGCCGCGGTAGCAGAACCGCTGGTTTTGGCGGTGTCCGCGGGTTCTTCATCTTCTGGCTCGCCGTCGCCGTCTTCTTCTTCATCTTCGTCCTCGGCGGGGACGCCGTTGCCATTCTCTTTGGCCACTTCTTCGGGGGCCGTCTTTCTTCGCTTGGAGGGAGGAGCTGGGGGTGAAGAATGTTAGATGCGAGAAAGAAATAGGAGAATGGATTATAGGCAGAGAAGAAATGCAGGTAGAAATACCTTTGACCTTGGCGGGCTCTTCCTCCTCCTCCTCTTCTTCGCCTTCTGCTTCTTCTTCTTCGAACTCCTCCTCTTCTTCGCTACCTTCTTCTTCCTCGCTTTCGCCTACGTCGGATTCTTCGTATCTAGAGTAGGAAGCGTAAATTAGCTGTTTATCCTCGTGGATGATGTGTGCATGACGATAAGGGAGGTGGATGAGCGTCGATGGCGCGTGACGATGCAAGAGAGCCGATGCAACGGATCTTGTTCAGCGCATGGTGCAGGGTGCAGAGCGCAGAGCGCGCGATAGGTGTATGAAGCGTGCAACAGCAGAAAGATAAGAGACTTACTCTTCTTCCTCTTCGCTTTCGTCGCTAGGAAGCGCCTGGAGTTCTTCCTCCTCCTCGGCTTCTTGCTTTCTCTTACGGGTGGACATGGTGATTTAGGATGGAAAAGCGGCTTATACAGAAGGGAGAGAAAGAAAGGCCGGGTCAATGGCAGAGAGGTATGGATGGAAAGGAAGATTTGGAGACCCGGGGGCGTCGGGAATAAGAGAAGAGACTGAGACTACTTGAGAGGAGAGGAGAGGACAGAAGGATGGGAAGGGAGGAAGAGGAAAATATAGAGGGAACGGCTGAGGAGGAGGGTAGGGCGCAGGGAGGTCTACCTAGCTACTACGGCTAGAGATTAGGTGGTAGCATAATCGCCAGAACCAGATCCTGCCCCCAAGGGGGGAGGGGAACGGAATGAGCGGCCATTACTTCAGCAGACAGGGAGGAGGAAGAAGCGAGAGGGGTCAGCAATGACAGAAACATGGGCAACGTCCAGCCGTAAGGAGCAGTGCGAGCTGGGGAAAGCTAAGCAGGGACAGTAGCAGCAGAAGAGCTGAAGCTGCGGCTTGTTCTTGGGACTTCGAGTAAGTGACGACGTCGGCTTTAGGCCCAGACAGTGTGGATAACGCGAAAAAAGACGTCCAACCAATGACTGCTCGTCATCAGTGCGTGCCCATTGTGTACCTAAGGTAGGATGATGCTGCCGTCGGCTGTTTCGCAGGCGTCCTCATTTCTCAGCCTTTCTGACTGTGCTAACCTATGAAGAACAAGCTTGAAAGTGTTCGGTCAGCAGGCATGTGGGAAAAGTCCTCTATGCTATTAGTTTGTTTCAGAGAGAATAAATGCAAAAAAACACTTGATGGCATCGATGAAATAAAGCGATGGTTGAGGGAGGCATGGAAATTCTCAGAAAGAGGACACAGCAAGGTTTGTTGTGGACATAAGAGTAGTGCGTGGTCATAAAGTAAGCAGAGCATAATGTAAGCAGGAATAATGATGATGTCAGTAAGTGAAACATCTTGCGTACGGTAATTTACAGGTCACAACCGAAATTTCAACCAGCAGCAGCTTCTCCCGGATCTAACCCGATCTGGAGACTCGCACGGACCATCTGCCCAGGCACAACATATCCCGCTGGGGATAAGCATGTCTTGAGTCTGACTGCTTGTGAGTCTCATGCAGGGGGGCAGGAATTGGTATTTCCATGGCAAAGGGTCAACAGTCAACAACAACATTCCCCATCTTATTAAAAATTCAGTATTATATATACTCCCTTCTATCAAATATACAACCTGTCTTCGTGGATATCGAGAACAAAGGACAGCTTTATTGCGCCAGAAATTCAAAATTGGCCATGCTGGGGTCAAGCAGATTCTCGTCTAACCCGAAGCCATAAGTGCCGACCATGTCGTAGATGAGGTCCGGCGGTGGAAATCCCTGGGCCATGGCATTCGCACCGCCTGGTACCTCACCCTCGGACCGGTCAACAGCTCCTGTACCTCCCACGGGAAGTCCTCCGGCGTTGCCTGGTCGGCCAGCCTGCCACGCAGTTTCCCATGAATCGAACCGCTCTAGCATCTTGCTTAGGCCGCGCGCAATGTGTCTTGTGAGATGTCTTTCGCCAGCGGAGACACAGTTCAACAACTCGATGACTCGCTCCACCAGACGGCGCACCTGGCGGCCGTCGATACTAAGGTAGGCTGAATTCCAATTCACGGCGACCTTGAGCAGGAAGACCGCGGAAAAGGTGACCATAGTATGGGTGAAAATGGGAACACCCACTATGGCATCTCGGATATCCTGCTCCTCCAGTACCATATTCAGGCAGGCCATGGCGGACGAAATGGCGATGTTGGCCGATTCTTTCCGGTCCATGGAGAAAACTGGGGTATTGGACGGTGACAGCGCGCGAAGAGAGAGTGAATTCAGCTGGAACTTTGCGAAATGGTAATGCAGGACCACTCCTTTTGATGGATACGTCCTTACGTATGGGCTATCGGCTACGCCGCGAAAATTAGATAGTGCTATGAGAATGACGGCCCACTGGCTTACTTACCTGATCGTGGTTGCCAGAGGAGGCGCCATTGATCAACCGCAACATTGTAAACCCTCAGTTGGCCAAAATCTTCCTCCGTAAGTGCTTGTTCCGTATCGCTTCCAAACATTCGATAGGCCTCCGTGAGGATCATGAACAAGGCTACTTGTGCCAGCAGTCGAATGTCACCAGGGACGACCATCGGTGACTGGAGGAACGTCTCATAATTCTTGATCGAGACATCTTCATGAATGACGGGTGGTCGGCCGTAGGCGATGCTGAAATGATGGTCGCAGACATATAGTAGGTACCATAGTTGTGCACGCTCATATTGATCACTGTGACCATGGATCATCCGCTGGTAGCTCTGGTGGAGACCCAGCTCCGTTGCTATTCGGACAGCATGGCCAGAAAGCTTCCAGCTTAGCTCGGAGAGCCAGAAGGCACCGACGCAGAGGCCACGGATGTCGTCCAGGGTATGAGCCCGCGTCAGAGACATGCTCGACACGAGGGACACGTACTCGCTGTAGCACCGATTCAACGTCTCGTTGCGATTGGGAATGTGAAGGGCAGCGACGGTAAGAACAGCCGCAGACAGCAATGTTGAGGCTCGTCTCACAGAGGTCAGATCTCGATGCACGAGGATGATTCCTCCCCAGAGAAGCTGGTTCATCGTCCGACTGAAGTATGCGAAGAGTTCCTCGGCCTCGTTGAGAGAAATTAAACCCCGCGATATGAAATCCTCCTCCAGTAGCGTCAGCCTCGGTTTCTCCACAGGATTGTTTCGTAGGTTTCGTAGTTTCGTGACTTCGTAAAGGCTGCGCATAGGGGCCGGCACCAACTCCGGGCCCTGCAGGTCCGGCTCCTGCGAAGGTTCTCGAGTGACATCCATCACGGCACCGGGGGCATTCTGTCCTTGACTCGGTTGTGAGTTGTCTATTGAAGCCCGATGTCCGTTTGTATGCGAAGCAACCGGGCTGGGTCCGTTTTGAGGGTCGCCTGCAGCATACGTGGAGAGTTCTGGAAGTCCGTTCTGGCGGAGAAGGTCGCGAACAGCCGCTTGGAGCTGGTGAATCGCGGAAGCAGCTTGCGATTTCCATCTTGACGAGGAGCCATCAGCATATCGACGAATCTATAGGATAACCAAGAGATACACGTCGAGAAAACATACATCCCATCGTCATCAACAAACTTCTGCGAGAAGTCATTGACTACACACTTGATGCCGCTTCGCGTGCATTTCGTGCAGCTAGTTTCGCCCGGTTTGAACTCGCATTTGATCTTATGTCGTTTGCACTCCGCACCTGCACGTTCCGGATATCAGCCTGAAGCTCTACTTGAGAAGTTGAGCTTGCATCTCTGCATCCTTGCCTCGAGGCGCTCAGAGGACCGAGTCGGAGACACTCACAAGCGCGGGCTTTGGAGACCCTTGGAGGAGGTCGAGCGTCGAGAACGGAGGAACCGCGATCATACCGTCTTGGAGACTCGAGACCAGCATCAGAAGACGATCGCTTGAGATCGGATCGATCCATGATAAATTAGGTTTGTTTGTTGACTGGGACAACTAATCGGGGATGCTCCGGTACTATGCAAGTAATGCAACCAACCGTCGCTGACTCGCGATTTGGAGCGGTGCGATCAGCTGTCGGAAATGGAGCGATCTATGGATGTGCCTATGATGATCAATGAGATGTGAATTGTTGTCATTAAAATTTTGCATTGACATGAGAAGAACAGATGTGCCGGATGAGTCGACTGAACGAGGTGCGACTGAGAGGCGTGGGGGATGACAGAAAAGACGTGGGGAGGGACAAAAGCAAGATTTGACCCCGCCCGAGTTGGAGTCGAAGTGCCTAACACTGAGAGGCGATAGCTGGTTTTAACCAGCTAGATGGCATGAAAGATAGAGGTCATGATGGTGATACCTTATTGATCTCTGGTAAGTTTTCTCTATGATAGAAATATCTTGATATGCGATAGACATTATCGAATTCGTGGAGAAGCTACATTCTGGTGTCGAAACCTGGGGTACGGAGATATATCAGACGGTAGAGTGCGATATAGAGCAGGATATGGAGTAGTTTCGCAGCTGGTCTTCTTCGAACATACCCATCATCCATCATCAATCATCCTCAACGCCATTCCATCGGTGGTCCTTGTGTATCAACAGTGGCATGGTTGCTGGTTGATATCTCCAAATGCAAGCCCCGCATATAAAGAAACATGCTGTCGCCGCATTCACTTCCCTCGGACTCTCGCCTCACCACTTTCTGACGTAGGAAAATTACTGATCCACATCTAAAAGCTCCATAAGTGATGCCTGTCTCTGAATTTTACTGCAGGTCCAGGCTCTCCCTCACTTCATCAGTCTCAACGACATCACCGGCTCAAGTCCGGCTGCGGAGAAAGAAGAAGAATTGCCTCGGACTTGATGCGAATGCGGAGACCCCACTACACATCCAAATAAGTTGATGCGATAACTCTTCATAAAAGCCATGTTTTCTCCATCTCTTGTTTCGCAAATACCTCATATTAACTCGATTAAACACCAAGACTCAATATGCAAATCCTCATCACAGGCGCCGCCGGCTTCATCGGCCAATCGCTCGCAAAAGAGCTCCTCAATGACCCCTCCTACCACCTCACATTGACCGATATCCACGAGCCCCCCGTCCCCAAGGGCGTAAAATGCCCGCAAAATGCAAAGACCATCAAAGCCGATCTACTCGCTGGCGCAGAATCAGTAGTAGACAAAAGCCTCGACGCCGTCTTTGCCTTCCACGGCATCATGTCCTCCGGCTCCGAAGCCAACTTCGACCTCGGAATGAGCGTCAACGTCGGCGCGACTCGCACCCTCCTCGAGGCCCTCCGCAGAACCTGCCCCGGTGTCCGGTTCATCTACTCGTCCAGCCAAGCCGTCTACGGCCGTCCGCTTCCCGACGTGGTCGACGACAGCGTCACTCCCACGCCGCAGGGCTCATACGGCGCCGAGAAGCTGATCTGCGAGACTCTTGTCAACGAATACACAAGGCGCGGCTTTATCACGGGGTTCACGCTCCGATTTCCCACGATCTCGGTGCGCCCGGGGCAACCGACTGCGGCCGCCTCGTCGTTTCTCTCGGGGATGATTCGGGAGCCGTTGGCGGGGAAGGAGTGTGTGATTCCGGTTGAGGATCGATCGTTCAAGTCCTGGCTGTGTTCGCCGCGGACGCTTGTACAGAATCTTGTACTTACGCTGTCGTTGCCGAGTGATGCGTTGCCTCCGCATATCCGGTCGATCAATGTGCCTGGTATCTGCGTTACGGTGCAGGAGATGATGGATGCGCTGGAGAAAGTGGGCGGGAAGGATAAGCTGGCGCTATTGAAGGAGAAGGAGGATCCGACGCTTCGGCCGATCCTGGACTCATGGCCTACGCGATTTGATAATTCTCAGGCTATTGCACTGGGATTTAAGCGGGACTCGTCGTTTGAGCAAGCTGTTAGAGATTATTACGAGCAGGAGGTATTGGGGAAATGAGGATATTAGTATAAGTGGACTTTGACTGCCAATAGACTTGTACATATCTGATAGACCATTGAATTTTGAAAATACTCCAAATAACAAGTACGCCGTAAACAATCAGATTATAATAGACTATGATCAAGAGGTTATAAAAGCTGCAATCTAGCCTTCCGTCCACGGGTACAGTTGGGGTCTGGAAATCAATCCAGAACCATCATTTCCATACCTAGGAGAATTTCAGTAAATGTAGGATGATGATTAAAAGCTTTCCCAAACCTGTCCGTCAATGGCAACCAAGCGGTTGAACAATTCGTTCCGAGTACTCATTGCTGTAAGTTGATAGGAATCGTGCGGATGCTTCCCTATAAGGATCAAGCCATCCACAACCTCCTTGCTGCCGACAGCCCAGCCAGCAACCAATTTCCCCTTCCAACCCATTCCGCCGATCTTGCGCATTTCCTGGATTTCGGTGACCGGTATTGTGAAGAGCACTGTGCCTTTCTTTCTACTGTCCAGTCTGTAATCGCCCTGAATGATAGTCGTGTCTGTCGTGAAGTATAGTAGCGGCGGCTGCTGGGATGAGTCAATCACCACAGTGCCTCGTTTACCCTTGTACCTTGCGTCGAACTCTACAGGGCCGTAGGGCAAGGTCTCTAGACCTTTCTTGCGTAATATACCGACATGATTCTTCGCATGATTTGATCCCGCTTCGGCGCGAACCCGGTCAACTGCCAGCTTCGTCTCGATTCCTGTCGCTGTGGTGCCCTTGAAGAAGCCGATTATCCTGGCGCCAAAGTTCTTCTTCTTGGGCTTGTCGCCTTCGTGAAGCTCTTGCGCTGCATCTTGTTTCGGCTCAGGAGCCGCAGCTCGGTTGATTTCCTCGTCGGTGGCCCCCAAGGTCAGTTGATCGTGGTGGATCGAGGCGGGCCTTGACGGAGCTTTATGGAGAGAGCTTGAAGGGGGCGGCGGTAAGGGTGCCGCATTCGATTCACCAATGCGAAGAAGTGTGAGGGTAAGCTGAGCATTAGTGGGGACTCCTTTCAAGAGGGAACTGGCATGGGGTCAGCGGACTGTCTGTCATGTGTCTCTTATGATCCGCACATACTTTTGCAATTCGAGAAGCTTCTGCCAATGCGGGAATTCATGGTTCAAGTAGCTCATGAGATGTTGAAGAACTGGATCCCCAAAAAAAACAAACCCAAGAAGGAAAGTGCTCAACTTGACGAAAACATAGCTTGAAGTCAGTAACGACCCTAGAAATCCGGCCGCGAGCACGCTGGATAGACGAAGGTAGGGGGTCGCGGCCGAAAAAGGTGGTGTTGGCGAGAGAGCACTGCAGCCAGAATGTCAGAACCATGGGGCGCCTACTATGTATCATGAACTCAACGCTTACTTGCCAAACCTCTCGTAAGTATTAGTGATATCACTGAGCACCCGCATTGCCAGATTTGCGCCGTTCAGCACCGTCTCCCTCATAGGTTGCCTGGTCTTGTCGTGAGTATCCGCTGGTACTTCTCCACCAGCCGCAGCTTGTGCATCGGCTGTCTTGGACACGATATCCATCGCGTCTGGAACTGAGGATTCCATAGGAGCATCATCGGGTGTGCCTTGATCATGTTTGCCGGCAGCACTTCCCACGGCAACAGTGGCAACGCTAGTGATTAAATTACTTGCTTCTTGCTCGGCTGCTTCACCTTTATGTTTTTCTGGAGCCCCAGTCACACTGTCATGAGAGCCGAGCACTCCCGCCTTGGGTTTCTGCACTCCGCCAGTAGATTTATCAACCAGAGCAAGAGGTGCGGGAGGGAACAGGATCTTGCGAGATCGAGGCCAGACAACCAGAACAAGCATCGTACCAAAGATCGTGGGAACGAGAAGATCGAAAAGCCAGGCTACGGAGTATACCTGTATATATTGTTCAGTCTTCATTGGCTACTCGCCACAATGTTGGACTTGAGCGTACTGCGCAAAAGGCTGATGTTCGCCGAGGCTCTCTCCATGAGCGAAGCCTAGCGATGTGCTTAATAAGACTGGTCAAGCCAATAACCACCGTTGTATAGAATCTCTCCAGGGTGGATCTCAGCTTATCTGGGGAGAAATTCTCATCTTCTGCCCGATTAAGATCCAGCCTCTGTAACGGGGCGTTCGGAACAGCTTTGACACAGTAGATTTGCTGCACTTGTCAGCATTTCCTTTCGAGGGCTTGAAAGCAAACATACCTTATTGAAGCGACGGATTAGCATCCAGAGATCCTCATTCGACAATCCCGTCACAATCCTATCCTCAATCTTGTCAGATTCTCCCCATCCAATGTCTGAGACATCGTTGGTGACTCCAGCTTTCTGAGCCAGTCCCTTGGCCTCTTCCTCAGGCTCTACCTGAGAAAGTGTATGGCTGTCAGTTGGCCCAATATTGTCATCTTGATTCCTTTCATCATTGTGCGAACTCTTGTCGAGTCCTGCCGATATTGGCTCTGGCGCACGAAGGGACTCTGGCGCATCAGACATTGTATTTAGCAAAGATTGAAAAGCGAATTAAACCCAGAACACATTGCATTGACAGGTCGACTAAGTTAACATCATGGAGCCACGGTTCATTTTTATGTCTGCGACTCTGCAACGTTCTTTTGGTAGGTCTCCTGTTGCGGGGACCATCGACGTCATCCCCTGCAATTATCTTGTTAGTGAACAACCACTGGTCCTCCAGAGAACTGGATTCCCTTGGCCCGTGTCTAAAGCTTGTAAGATCATAAGGTACGGTGGATAGTCTTAGACAACATCGCTCAACATGTGTCATTCAGAAGAACAAAGAAACCTAAGGCATCAATTATTGCAGCCTGAGGTTTGGCAATTTGAACTCCAAAAAGGGAAAGCCCAGGAGTGAGCGCAGGAGGTTATGATATCGCTCCGACATTCACCCGAAGCTGTGCCCTGAGCCACATGACGTTCACATGGACAATCTCAGTCCATGAATCAAATATCACCCATTTCTCCCACAGGTTTCCAACCAACGCGCCCTTGAAGATGCCGC